CTCAATAAAATTTCTTTGACTTTTCTTACAGCTATTCCTGCTTTAAGCTCCATCAACGGTTATGTAGATGAAGCAATTGAAATATGGAATATAACAATCTGAAAAAGCTTCTCCGAAACGGCATAGATGGCTCCAGTAGTTAAGTGTTCTCAATGAAGTTCCCACTCTTTGTGAACACAAGCACAAAGTATACCTAATTATTTACTAGGAATCTTCATGAACAGAAGAGACACGCCGTTTGGTGCCCCAAGCTCACCATATAATTGTATTGCTTGTATTGCGAAGATAACTTGATTTCCCAGAATAATACTCAATAGGTACATTTCAATCTATTTTTTTCTCGATGATTTTTGAACCATCTACCAAAGTTTGATACCATCTTTATGTTATTATTTGATGGTACGTAAAGCGTAACGTCAAAATACCATAATGTCTTATATAAGACTTGGTCGCATTTCCAAATATCGCTACTTAGTGCTCAATTAAACCAATCAAGGAACTTTTGTGTCATATTTCGTACTTCTAGGGCAAGTGGTTTTGGTCTGTGCGTTGATATCTAAGTCAATCATAGTCAATCAGCATTGCGTTTTATATACACACAGATTACAGATCGACATTTTTCGATTGTGTTATCCAGTCAAATGGGGATGTGTGATAGTAGAACAACATACGAACTCTCTTGAGTTCTGTTCCATAGAATTTTGACAGCAGGAAAACTAGATCTGCGTGTGATATGTTCTGGTTTATTGTTGATATGGTTGCTGTAATAAAATATGGCCTCCGTTTTCCTAACTTACATTTATGAACTTTCTTGAAAATGGAAGATGATAGTAATAAGTTACAAGGAAAAATTAACCTTGGTTTTACATGTTTCAAAAGAGTCTAACTGGACGTAGGAGTAAAATGTCTGACGTTCATACATGTTTCCACCTGTACCCTATGCTGCCCTCGTAAGGTAAAACGTCCTAACTGCCAAATTCTTAGAACTGAGATAATCGACTTTTTATAAAATGTGTTGCGCAGTCCTTGATTTTTATAACACACCAGTAATTTTTTTTTCTAATATAAGTATGTAGATAGTTAAAGTTCTTTTTGTGGTGCTTTTGTTTTTAAAAAACTCAGTTTTACGACGGTGAAGCTTTATTGACACATTAGCAATATACTCTTGAAACGTACCAACAAAGACTTAAAAGGTACGCCCAAGCAATGGAGAATTTATAAGTTTTAACTGCTGACACTTCACAGTGTATTCTGGAAATGTCAAGATTAAGAGGATACATTTATTTATATATATATATATATATACATTTAGGGTATAACCATATTATTAAGTGGATATAACACCTCCCTTCGTAAAATTCAAATTCTGGGGTTACATTCAGAATTTGAAGTATTTGGAAGTTCAAAAGATACAATTTTTTGTTTAAATTTTAAAACATATAACTTCCAAATAAAATAAAAGTAATGCTACATAAGATTAAATATATAAAACAATAGTTCCTATTCCTATATTATTATGGATTATATTTTGTTAGGATATTTCATTACTTTTTTTCAATCCCTAAATTATTTTTTTAAATATTTAAAATGTTTAAGTTTACATTGTCTAGTGATAGAGGTTTAAAATTATTTGGATATTTTCTATCAACTAGAGACATATTGATTTTAGGTAAAATAATAGTAGTTGTTTTAATCCTATTATTAATAAAGTTTTGAATAGTTAAATCGTTAATTTTAATGTCACATTCTCTATTGATGTCTACTAAATATGTACCGCACAAAGGAATTTTCTCTACGTTTTTATTACACTTTTGTAACGCTACGGTATAACGCGGCACAATAATGACACTATACCTACACGGACCAGTACGGACCAGCACAGCACAAACCTGCATCCTGCATAACGTCGCACACTTTACCGCCACAGACCAGCAACATAAGCGAGAGTTTCGAAAAAAGTACAGTTGTCAAGGCTCAACTACTAGAGCGTGCAACATAGAAGTATTGAAAATGAGTAGTTTAGAGGAAGAAATTATTATTTTAGCCATGTTGTGTGAAGAAGAGGAGGAAGAGAAGGAAGCCAAGAAAAAAAAGAAGATTTTGGGTTCACCCTATAAATCAAAAGAGAAAGAAATATGGCGAATTTCATCATTTGTTTCCTGAATTAAAAAGATTCGAAGAAAGTTTTTCCAATATTTTCGAATGTCACAAAATCAAATTTGATTATTTCTTTTGCTATCGACTCTCATATTGCATCTTTTCTTTCTTTGTCTCTATATATAAAATGATTGGCTCGTATCGCACAGCTCTTTGTACCAGTAAATTAAGCTTTTCTTCATTCATATTTAAGACGATTTAAAGGTTCGAATAAAAATAAACGAAATCTAACCTACATCATGCGATTTGAGCCAGCTAGCGTACTCGAAATACCGACGAACCCTTCAATATTTGCATGTTTGTGGAGGTGTGCTGGTTCGCCGGTGCGCACATTAGGTCGGACCAGCACGACCAGGCATAAATATTGCCGGTCATATTTGTCCCTGACCGACACGACCTGTTTTGACGGTTGTGGCTTGTGGCGGTACGTGCTGGTACTGGTCTAGTGTGCTCTACTCTATTAAATAACACGGTCACCTTCACCGGTAGATTTTACTGGTCTGGTCCGTGCCGGTCCGTGTAGGTATAGTGTGCGCGATCTTTAAAACGTTGCACTTTATTTTGGTTTACTCACACTGGCACTATTTTACAGTTGGAAGGGTGTTGATTCAGCTTCAGTAGTTGAATTTCACAGGGGTTGTCTTCGTTGTTAATTTCTGTTGAACTGATGTCTTCGCAGAGGAACTCGTTGCTGTTGATTTATTTACAGGGTTGATCCAAGAATGCGAAGTTATTCTCGTTCATGATGAGGTACTTTGACATTGGAATAAGGGCTTCGAATGTGTTGTTTCTTTGGATAGGCAAGGGGTATAGATGGAAATAATCATATTTTTCTTTTTCGACAAGAGGAATTTCGATAATAAAAACGATTTTGTTTTCTTTAGAGTAACTCTTTATCTCTATTGCTCTTTCGAAATGGCTAGTTTTTTATTTCTGGTTCAAAAGGTAGTCTAATTGTTTTTATTATTTTGATATAGATAATAGTTCAGAAAATAATTCTTTAGGGTCTACAATACTATTATGAAATGTATTTATTTTAGAAAAGGTAATTGCTGTTTCTATTTGTTCAAGTATATCATAGATAATTTTGTTCTTTTTGTTATATCATTTATGTAACCATCTCTATATAAAAAAAGAATGTATAAGTTTCTATGTATTCGATATCCCTTGTATATAATATATGTTCATATTTTTAATATGTACGTTTATAATTTGTTGGTTTCGTGATAAGTTTTGTAGATTTGACTGAAATATATCGATTGATTTTTCAAAAAGTGAAATTTGATTGATCATAGAAATTTTTAATTTATCTTGATTTTTCGATAAATGCTCGATCGCTTGATCATATTTTTCAACATCTTGACAATCTAAATTACCAGTTATTTGTTTTATTATAGAGCCTATTCCATTTATTAAACCTCGTTTTGTTCTGTTATTTTTTAAAGGATTTAATTGATGTAATTGTACATTAATTCTATTTTCTAATGATTTCGCTATACTATAAGAGCTGTAAAATTCATCTTTATATTTTTCAGTAATATTTGTGCCATTTTCGATATCTCAGATATTATATTAAATTGATTACGTAATGTTAGATATTGATTAATTCATTTAAGGGTAATAAACCAGGGTTTCCTTCTAAATTATGAAACTTTACTGATTGTTCACAGTGGACGATGTAGATTGCGTACCTGTAACAATAGAATGTTTCTTTAATTCCTTTATGTGGACCACTTCTTTTTTAGTTTCTTTAACTTTACTGATTGTTCACAGCATTGGCGAAGTTAGCTCTCTGATTTTGGGGGGGCTTAAGCCCCGGCATCTTTTGATCATAACATTAGGTAAGATTAGGATGAAAACACAGTATTTAATACTAAATGCTTTAGTGGCAATATCGAATAAACATGGACTAAACAGAACTAAGTATAACTGATATATACATTTTAATAATAAACATACAGATATTAAATATGACTAAAAAATAAAATCACAGACCTTCGCATTAAAATAGTTGTAATTTTCTGTTTCCGGATTTTGAGAATCCATCAATTATCTCCTGATGTTCAATATTTTTCGCCATATCACTATTGATGTTTAGTATTGAAAGTTTACTAAACCTATCTTGGCTCATTCGACTCCTTAACCATGTTTTTATGCGACGCATGGTTGAAAAAGACCTCTCACAAGTAGTTGATCCAATTGGAAGAATCAATGCTATTTGTAGCAGTCGGAATGTATGTGGAAATGTATTTTTTGTGACAATGGATTTGAGGTTTGACAACTTATCACCGATCTTGTTATCAGGGCAATTTTTTATAACCAGCATCTCCGCTTTAAGAGACTCCGTATCAATGTTAAATAGTTTTTTGTAGTGTTCTATGAAGAACAGGCTTCCTATTGGATCCATTTCCAAAAATTTATTGACTGAAATAGCTAGACGTTGACTCTCTTCGGAAAAACGGATTTTCAAGTGATTTGTTACACTGTCAAGTATACGGTAATGAGCATTTCTAAGCCAAAAGTTCTTTATTTCATTCAAAGATGTTTCAGAACTAGTACAAGCATCTTCATTTTCATCCCGTCCTATAGTCGACATTACTGCAAAATCAGTCAAATTAGGTGGCATTGTCCTTTTTCTCTTGGAAGTTCTTCCAATATCTAAAATAACATCACTTTCTTGTGCTATTTTTTTAATCTCTTGCCATAAAGTATTAAATGATGCCTCACAACCAAGCATTTTATAGTTCCATTTATGATGTCTGTGGATGCCCCTAATGTACTCTCCTTTCCTTGTAGTTGTTTGCTCAAAACATTTACAGTTAACAAAATGTCAGTCAGCAGAACTACCACCTCAGAAACTTGCTTGTAGTCAAGCTTGTTAAAAGACCCATCGCCTCAACAACGTTTCTATTGGAATTTTCCTCAATTTCATATTTAAGAGCCACAATAATTGAGGAATAATTATTTTTAACGGCTTGGCAATTATTGCTCCTACAACTCCATCTAGTGTCTGAAATCCTACTGAGTTCCAGTGTCTTGGTTCCTAATGCCTTTTGTGTCTCAATGAAGGTTTTATGGTTTGACGGCTGGGAAAAGTGCACAAATAAAGATTCCAAGATATTGAAAAACTCTTTAACTCCCTGTATGTCATTGCATGAGTCAACCACAGCTAAGTTAAGTCTGTGGGCCATACAGTGAATGTAAATCGCTTCAGGATGTATTTCCCTTATCTTTGCTTGTAAGCCACTGTTTCTTCCCGACATCACGCTTGCACCATCATAGGCTTGTGCAATTATTGGAAAGTTTCTTAGGCCCAATTTATCTATGAAATTTATTATCAAAGTGCACAAGCTTGACGCATCACGTTGTTGAGAACATTCTACGAACCCCAAAAATCGTTCTTCTATCTCCAATTTTTTTGTGTAACGCACACAGAATGACAACTGTTGCTCTTTGAAGCACCTTGCTTCATCAACCATTATTGCATAGGCTCCACATTCTTTGATTTCGCCGATTATTTTGGATTGTATAATATTTCCAGCATTATTAATAATATCATTTTGTATATCTGAACTACTGAGATTGAAATATTTGTTGTAAGATTCGGAAAATGATGTGTTATATCTAGATATTAGTTCACAAATTTCTTTGTAATTGCCCTTGTTTGAGGAGTCATCAGATTCGTCGTGACCTCTAAATGGCATTCCCTGCCGTGACAATGTCAAAATAATATTTTCTATTTTTCTGAACTAGCTCAACTGATGAAGAAGACATTTTATCCACTACTGTTCCGTCCTTTTTAGATTGAAGAAATAGAGCATACTTGCTGTTGTTCTTCATGTGGTATTGACTTTCAGCGTGCTTCTTTAATTTTTCTCCCAGCTTCTTCCAGTTTCTAAACCCATCAATTGTAAAAATCTGTTCGTGACTACTTATGGTTTCGCCAAAATGTCTGCAGGGGTAACAGTATACTGCATCCCGCTGAATGCTGTACTCGAGCCATGAATGTATTAGAAATATTTTTCAGAAAAATCCTGTTTTGCAAGCCAAAACTGGTCAAAGGATATGTATCGCGCATTGGTTGCGACGGCTTTGATTGCAGAGTGCCTAAATCACTTGGAATACTTTTTTCTGTAACAGTGGTAATATTAGTAGTCTCGTGACGATGGGTTGGCTGATCGGGTTGACCTTGATAGGTAATACTGGAACTACTAGAGGATGATAGTGGATCCGTCCTGGAGAACGGTTCTGTAATACAAAATAAAATACACTTTAATTCATTTAAAAAAAATGTAAAAAAAAACATTTTTCTCCAACCCCCGGATATGTCGCTATATTTGAACACTAATCTGTAAAAAAATTAGGCGATTTTAGAACAATGCCCTGTCACTACGACAACCGTACCGGAAAAGTAAACACTTTGCGGTACGCGTACCAAAAAGACTATGTTCCATTATCAACTGCCCGTACTGGATTCCGCACAACTGATTTTACTCTCACAATACCACCGGTTCCAATTTTAACAGCTTACATACATTATCAATTAAACTTCCTGGAATATTTTGCATTGCAATGTTTCGATATTAATTCTTTAGCTCAGCGCGCCGTTCAGCAAATTCAGGAAGTACTTACTACTCACAGATGCTAATGGAACATAGTTAAAGATTAGTGACAGTAGGGCGATGTCAATACGTTAACAATAAACGTCAGAATTAATTGCATCCAATTCAACAAATTAAATACGTTTAATTTCATATCAAAAGGGTTGGAGAAAAAATATTATGTTCTGTTCGTACAAAATATACTGTTCGTGATTCATAAGATTACCGGACTCCGCTGCGCCTCGTCCGGTAAACTTTCTTACTCGTCCCGAAAAGACGTATTTTTTGTACTAATACTACTAAAAAAACAATTTTGTAAAAATACATATATGAAAAAAAAAACAAAAAAAAAGTATTTATTATTAGAAATCCCTATACTATACAAAGTTATGTACTATGGGTGAAATAGTTTTTTGAGATAAAAATCGCATCCGTAAGTCACAAACGATAAACACATACGGTAAACTTTCTTACTCGTCCCGAAAAGACGTATTTTTTGTACTAATACTACTAAAAAAAACAATTTTGTATGTGGAAGAAAGAAAGAAAAGGAAAAAGTATTTATTATTAAAACCTTTACTAAATATGCTGTAGCTATGTACTATGGGTGAAATAGTTTTTTGAGATAAAAATCGCATCCGTCGTGGTATCACAAACGATAAACAGTACGCCATTTTCGTAACATCGTGATGATCGTCATCATGTGTGAAAACCTAAATTAAGACAATGAATGCCCAAAACACTTTATCTACCTCATATACGATGTGCAATATTAAGCTGTCTTAACTTGAATGGACCACCCTGTGTATTAGTTATTCTCACTTTTTACCTTCGAGCACTTTGTTCCCTGTTTCCACATTTTGGACAGTTGTTGTCGTTATTGGTGATTTTCGTTTAAAAAATGATCTGATGTCTGCAGTTTCTTTCATTTTTTCAATCTCAACAATTACTCAAAGACTAGAAATGAGAGAAATAGAAATAATACTTACATTTGATATTCTTTTTATTAACAGAGCGACTAAAAATATGACCAAGCGTTAAAAACTTTAAAAAATATTATTACTAAACAGTTACCGCATGGTAACGCAAGGAAACAAGGAAAGCAATGACATGATTGTAAATCAAATTAGGAACACACGTACCTTACACAAAACGTTGCTGGATAATTTCTTTCGAAACACTACACAAACTAGCACTATAGTCTTATTCAATATTCAACACAAAACTATCTTTGAATATATGAATATTATTTAAACTATTTATTTAAAACACACTATCTACAATTTACTGCACTATAGTAAATTAAAATCACTGGCTCGACTGCTCGATACTGAAAACTGAATTGACATCAACAACTTTTTTTTTTGTTGGTGAGGGGGTGGTTGAAAAATCTTTTATAGACGAATAGTGATCATTTCCATGGCCTTCTCGAGAGAGATGATCATAGAAATAACCCCTAGACAGTGTGGGACTCGTGTTGATACCCACTAAAAAAAGTCCACCTCCGAGGAATCAGCCGCCGAAGAATGGCCAGCTATTATTCCTGCTAATATGTGGGGAAGAAAAAAAGGGGGGTGTGTGGGGTAATGGGAGGACTATATTATGAGAAGGGGGGGACAAAATTAATTGTCTAGAAGCAATGGTTTTAAAATGGGAGTATTTGAAGTTTCTATAGTCCTCGGGATTGTAATCGAAGATTTTTAGGGTACTATTGGGGATAGTACCGATTTTCTCGTAGAACTTCAAGGCACAATCTCGAAGGTATTTGGGAATGGGGTCGATGCGTAGGTCAGTACGTATGTCGGAGTTTCGTATATACCAGGGAGCTCTGGTGATATAGCGGAGGATTTTGTTTTCACAGACTTGGAGTCTGTGGATTTGGCTGTCGGAAGCTCTACACCATACTGGGGCTGCATAGAGGAGCTGGGGGCGAATGACTGTTCTGAACAGTAGGACTTTATTTGAGAGGGAGAGGGTGCTCTTTTTGCTGAGGAGGCCATGAAGGCTAGCATAAGTGACACGGGCACCAGAAATTTTCTTGTCGATATGAGGGATCCAGGATAGCCGTCGATCTAGTGTGACTCCGAGATACTTGGCGGTTTCCCCCAAGGGATCTCTTCGTCGTCTATGACTAGCGGAGGAGGTAGAGGGAGCCTCATTCGTCCGGAGACGAACAAGGTTTGAGTTTTTGCTGCATTGATTTTGATTTTCCAATGGGAAAACCAATCAAGCAGCTGGGCGATGTGGTGTTGGAGCCTGCTCAGAATTCCATTGCTCGAGGCAGTGGAGTAGAGACAGGTGTCGTCTGCGAATAACGCAAGACGAGTCTCCAGGGATGTCGGATGTGAAGGTATTATAGAGTGTGGGCGACAGGACAGAGCCCTGCGGTACCCCCGCCTCTATAGCACGAGGAGTCGAAAGGATTTAGTGATGAGAGTGATCTGTTGGGGAAAGTGGAGGACGTGGTGAAGTTTGTACACAAGTCCCTGGTGCCAAACCTTGTCAAAGGCCTTCTCGATGTCAAACATGACAAGACCAGTGCCTCGCTTGGCGTTTAGACCCTGCGTAACATATTCCACCACGCGTGCGACTTGCTGTTCACAGGAGAGGGATTGGCTAAATCCGAACTGCTCCTGAGGGATGATCTCGGCAACTAGCCAAGAAGTCGTTAATTCTAGAGAGAATAACTTTCTCAGCCAGTTTCGAGAGGGAGGAGAGGAGGCTGATGGGGCGCCAGTTTTCTGGGAAAGTGAGGTTCTTATTTGGCTTTGGGATTAGAATAATTATGGCTAGTTTCCAAACGTTCGGAAAATATCTAAGGGACATTATCAGATTAATGATGGTGGTAAATTGGGTTATAAGAACCTCGGGGAGGTGTTTCAGTGCGATGTTGTTTACTTGGTCGTGACCTGGGGCTTTTCTGCTGCGCAGTGTGGAGATGATGGACGAAATTTCTTTAGGAGTTGCTGGGGGAATAGGGGCCTCGAGAGGGGGAATGGGAGCTACGAAGTCTTCGTAGAATTCTTCTACGACTTCATCGAAATCGATGTCGTCGTCGGGATTTCGGTTTGGACGGAATTGGCGTTCTAACGAGTCGGCAAAGGACTCTGCCTTCGCTTCGTCGGAATAGACCACTCCATTCAAGCCGTGAATTGGGGTCCGAGAATGACGTTACGTGAGTTGGTGTTTCTCATTCGCTTTTGAACCTTCCAAAGCGACTTTTTGTCGTCCTCAAGCGTAGATAGGAAGCTCTCCCACCTTTCATCTCTGAAAAGTTTGAGCTCTTTCCTAATCTCGCGTACCAGACTGTTAATCTGTCGCTTTAGATTGGGGTCGAGAAGGGCACGATACTGGCGTTTGAGCCAGTTTTTCTCTCGGATGAGGGCTCGGATATGTGGGGGGCTAGAAAGGGGTTGTTTAGGTTATTCGGCACTGTTGAAGTGCTATGTTCTATGGCTTGGGTTATGGCTGAAGTGAAGGTGGAGACCGCCGCCTCGAGCGAGGCGGCGTCCGCGATGCGCGGTAGGGTGGGCGGGTGTTCTTGGATAGTTTTGGCAAATTTTTGCCAGTTGGTGGTTTTTCGTGTTTTATGGGTGGAGATCGTGTGGGTATTAGTGATAGTAAAGAACACCGGGGAATGGTCAGAACTAAGCTCGTCATGCACTGAAACTGACATGTGGGACGTTATGTTTTGGGAAAGTCCGAAGTCTATGGTCGATGGAAGGCCGTGCGAGGGGAAGCATGTCGGGTCACTTGGAAAGTGGCCCTGAATGGGGAGGTCGTTGAGAAGTTCGGCTACTGCCGTTCCTCGGGGGTTTCCTTGCCGGGATCCCCAACGCCGGTGTCTGGCGTTAAAGTCCCCAGCAAGTAGGATTGGGAAGTTGGTAGAGGAGAGAAGCACTTCGAGATCGTGTCTTGTGTCCTCGCGAGAGGTCTGGTTGGGGATGTAGATGGATGCCACAACGACGGGGCTGTTGGATGTTTGTATTTGGACTATTGTTGCTTCGATGGAACGGAGCAGGGGTGTTGGAAGGGGAGTGTGGCGATGTGAATTTTTAACGAGTATGGCGGTGCCTCCGCCTCGTCGGTCAGGGCGGTCGTTG